ACCTCAAATAACATCCCTAGCTCAAAGCCCTAGCTTTGAATACTTCATCTTAAAAAACCCGAAATGATACATTGAAAAGTTTCTGCCTCTGTGATTATCTTCCTAAGACTCTAAATGTTGGGTTTGCTTTTAATTATTCACAAGTCTGATGTTTGGAGTAAAGCCTCCAAAAAGCATTTTATTGTCACCTTTTCTACTGTCTGCCCTATGAAACTGAAGTCTTGAAATGAAACATGCAATATTATTAAATCTTCCCCTTACTGAACACCTGAAGTCAGCTCAATTAAAGTGTAGGATGCTGCTGATGGACATGCATGTTTGTATCAGGGCTGTGTTGGGATCTGTCAGGGGATGTTACGGATGGGGCATGGTGGCTGGAGGTTGCCAGGTTCTTGCTCACAATCCCACCGATGATCATGACTGGGAAGCGTACCAGCAACCAGGCGCCTTGCAGCAGGAGCACGGTGGTGTCCAGCAGAGCCTGAGTGGAGCTGTCAGAACAGAGGAGCTGCAGGAATGAAACATCAAGTTAATAAATGAGCAGCACTGAGTCTAATAATCCATGTAATGTTGCCTTTGAGAGTTTCTGAAAAGCATTATGCCATGAGGTGTTTTTTAATTTTCTGAATGTGAGCAAAGAAATTCAAAGTGAATACAGATTAATGAATAAATCATTAACTGAATGAACGTGGATTGATATTGTACATTCAGCTATTAGATGATGATAACACCAGAGTTGCCCAACCCAATCTAACACTATATATCTGAAACTATGACAGGCAGGAAGCCATTCATGCCTGCTGAAAATACGTTGAGTTTATCATCTAAATGTTACAAACAAACTTGGTAGGTTCAACTACAGTGCTGTCAACCTCTTAAGACATTACAGCCAGAAGATTCCTGCTGATGATGTCACATTTTCAAGAAATGTTATAAAGAACATGGCAACTTTATTAGTCACACTTTGGTAGCACCAGGTTGGATCTTCTTTTGCCTTCAGATCTTCTTTGAGTCATGATTTACATTCAACAACAAGCTTAAAACACTCCTCAGACATTTTCATCCTTGTTGACATGACAACATGGCACAGTTGCTGCAAATTAGATGGCTGCACATCAATCATGTGAAACTTCTGTTACACCACATCCTAAAGCTGCACCATTGTATTTGAGTTCAGTGAAGTCTATGGGCTCAAATTGTGGTCATAAATATTTTGTACTTGTAAACCAGTTTTGTACTTGGCACACACAAATTCATTTTAAACATACAAAATTGATTTACAAGTACAAAATATTTATGACCACAATTTGAGCCCATAGAAGTCCTTGTGATGTTGAAGAAACCAGCTCCAGATGGTCAGAGCTTTGTGACATGACTTATCCTTCTTGAAGCATTCAGCAGAAGATGGCACACAGTAAGTTCTGACCTTTCAAATGTTACATCAGAAATTGAAACTCATCACACCAGAAAACATCTCTCCAATCTTCTGTTGTCCAACTTTCCAAGTTTTTTTGACCTGTAGCTCGAGTTTCCTGTATTTAGCTGACATGAGTGGTACTTGGTGTGGTCTTCTGCTGCATCTTGCTGATGTGCATTCAAAGATGCTCTTCTGCACACCTCAGTTGTAAAAGTAGTAATTGTAGTTTCTGTTGTCTTCTTTCAATTCAAAGCAGTCTATCATTCTCCTTCAGGGATTCTAAAGGCCCTAAATGTTCTCTCAAGGTCGCACTTTGAATGTTGTTTATTGGCAAAAGATGAGACTCACTTATATTTATCAGACTGAGACCTGGCTGCCATGGATTCATGAGTGGGCTGGCTCTCACAGGAAAACACCAAGATGGCAAATGTGACTATGGCAGCACCAATACAGTCATAAAAATCCTGAGTGCAAAAAGTATTTCCATCAATGAAGAAAGTTGTTCAGAGAGCTTGGATCAGCTGGAGAAACTGTGTTCAACGTGCACACACTTCTGAACCTGCACTGCTGCACTAAAACAAAGACAGTTACAATATCTACACAGTGCTAGTCTATATAAGACAATGGAGGGATCTGAGGCTGACTTTGTGCTTCTAGCTTGAGTCCAGCCTTTTTAATCAGAAGAAGACTGACTTGGGAAATAATGAACAGTAGATGGCAGTAACACACCAGTGATGCATCTAGCCTGCCAAACCCAAAGAAGAAGAACATGGCAGCTAGATTTCTGAAAGATTCACTCACTTTTCAACAATCCCACCAAATATTGTAGATCATGATTGTAAGAGGCCTGTCTGAACTTAATATACAGATTTCATGCTGTTGTTAACTGTGTCATTTCTGATGGTTATGTTTAAGAGGTTTGTATTGAAAGTATTTTGTGATAGTTTATGGTGGGTCATGTGATTTGGGCGGTATTGATTGCTTATTTTAGGCACCTGTTCATGCAGTGTCAGTTGGAGCAGAGAGGATTGCTGAGTTTTTGGTTCTCTTGCGTGTAGAGCTGGGCGATATGAGATTTTTTCACATCACGATATGTTTTTTTCATTTCAGGCGATAACGATATCTATCACGATATAAGCCAAATAACTATATTTGTAAGATTTAAATGTGCCGTTGCTCACAAGTAAAATGTGAAATAATCAGCAGCTTGTTTTTATTTAAATATTTATTTCCCATAATAAGTTCAACAGGGTAGATGTACTTAAGGAACATGAGACTTTTTCAGATAAATAAAGGCAAATATTGCAAACTACACAAAAGGCAGCCGCTAAAGCGTTTAAGTTTCAAAATAGAACAAACGAAACAGACTAAATTGTCAATTCCACTTAGAAACAAAATATTAATTCTAAAAATAAATCTTAGTTTGTTTTACAGAAGAACAGACAAAACTGACTAACTTTTGTCAATATCAAATAAACTGAGAACTAAAAGGAAATTCTCAATCTCTCCTTGTTGTATAGCTGAGCTTTTCAAACAGTTTTAACAGTTACTTTAGTCTGACAAAAGCCGAATGACGAATTAGCGCTTCCAGTCAGAGACTGAGGCTACGTCCACACGTACACGGGTATTTTTGAAAACGGAGATTTTCCGTTTTCGTTTTAAAAAATAATCCCGTCCACACATAAAGGCAGAAATGAAGGAAAACGCTGCTATGAACATGCCAAAGCAGCAGGTGGCGCTAGATTCCTAACCGTGCAGAAATGTTGGCCAATCAGAAGTCTAGAAGCCTCGGTGGGAAAAAGTAAACAAAGCTGGGGCATAGAAGCAGAACCGAGTCGTAAGTGTGGAGGGACAGTAACTGTGTGTATATGTAAGCATTTAAACACTGCAGAGAGTAGAATTAACAGTATTGTAGAAATTCATTTCACCGAAACAATAACGTGGCGCACAGTGTGACGCATGCACCAGTTTATTGTATTTCCAGACTTGCTTTCGGCACATTTACAGTGCACGCTACTCTGTTTTTTTGTCAGACTTGAAATAGCCGAAATACCTTCACACTACGGAGCTTCTATGGCTCTTCTGTTCGACAATCTCTCCGGCATTGGAACCATCATCTGTTTTCTCTTCGGTCACGCTCGGTTGATTTTTCTAGTCGGCACACTCATTTCCTCCATTACCCGCTGGCTCCATTACCCGCTGGCTGCTTCCCAAACAAACACACGTGTGGCTTGGCACTTGTGCTGTATGTAACAAGTCACGCGACGTGACACTGCGGCTGTGATTGGTTCGGCTCTGCGCTACTTAGTTTGGATTGGCTGACCTTTTTTTTTTTTTTTTTTTTAATTTTAAGAGGACAAGAGCGGCGAGGTCTATCGCGATAGCTTAATTTCTCTATCGAGTAAAAGTTATATCGCGATACATATCGTTATCGTTCTATCGTCCAGCTCTACTTGCGTGCTTCGCTTTAGTTTGTTTCCCTTAGTTTTCTTCTGTTATTGTTAAAGATTTAAAGTTCTTTTCTGTCTCAGTGAATCACTGTTTTTGTGGAAGGCGTCACAAAAGTATTCAGGTCCAGTCTCACCTTCTCAGCAACTTTTCATTTGATCCTGAAGTTGCTGAAATTTGCCAAAAAAATCCATCTATGGAAGAATCTCTACATGGAGCATGGCATCAAGGATGGAGAGGATTAAAGTCAGCAGACATGGATCCAGACACGGAGGTAGGCCCTTACTGTTAAATGATTGCTGAAGTGAAGTTAGAAGCTTCATTTACTGGTGGATATGCACAATAAGCTGCCCTGTTAATTGAAAAGTTTTACTATGCATGGCCTGTTTGGGGCTGTTTGTCTGCATGAGGATTCTTTGCTGCTGATTGCTGAGAGTTGAATGTGCGTGGTTGTACTGAAATCTTGACACTGCTTTCTCCCACCACAGTTGAACAGGGAGTCCACTTCAGTCCAGTTTGAAGAAACTGGTTTAAGCTATTAGGAAGCATGAAGCAGATGGTTGGGTGTAGAGCATCTGTTCAAATCTTTTTGGCACATTTCAACATCAGTCTGGTATGGATCAGGCCACATGAAGATCTTGCACATTGCACTCACTCTGACCTCAGTTAAAAAGGCCCTCAGCAGTCACTGGTTTGGTCAAGAATGTGTTGAGATTGACCAACATGCCTTTAAAAGAGCTTCAGCTCTCCCTATATGAATGTGGCAGAAACTCTTGGAACATTACACTATCTTGAATTAAAGGTGGATGTTGGTTAGTTAACAGTTTGATTTTGGTCCTTTTCTCTCAGTTGAATTGATAAACGGCTTTCGTCTTAAAATCTACTACTCGTTGTCAGTTTCTTTGTCTCTCGCCACGGCATCTGACAAAGAGATGCTCTACAGTAGGGGTAGGGAACTCCAGGCCTCAAGAGCTGGTTTCCTGCAGATTTTAGATGTGTCCTTGATCCAACAAGGCTGAAATAAATGGCTAAATTAGCTGCTCAACATGTCTTGAAGTTCTCCAGAGGCTGGTAATGACCTAATCATTTGATTCAGGTGTGGTGAACCAGGATGAGATCTAAAACCTGCAGGACACCGGCTCTGGAGGACTAAGGTTCCCTACCCCTGCTCTACAGCCACAGACTCTGGTCAGGAGAAGAGATTTTCCAGTGCCTACTCTCCTGGGTTCAGGTGGGTGAAGTGGAACAGGTACATCCTAATGCAGTTTATGAACACATGACTGGTTATCATGTCTTCAACTCGCACTGAGCCTGACATCAGTGTGGTTGTTAATGCTGCAAAACAGGATGGTTTAAACAGATGCTTCGAAACCTCTGCAACAAACCACCTGCTCCAGCAGAGATACTTAAACCAGTTTTGTGTTCCAGTCTGTGAAGCTGCAAAAATGGCAGACTGGAAGACTCTGATGGCTTTCATCAATCAGAATCTCAACAGGTATGTACTCAGCATTGTTGCCCAATGAGCAATGTTCAAGTGAAATCTGGTGGCAAATTTTATGAATGCAGCCAAAATGCAGAGTGTTTGTGTGATGCTATTCTGTATAAGAGTGAGCAATTTAGCCATTATTTAATTACTTTTTTGGTATCATTCAATGTTCTAAAGTGACTTGTGCCAAAGCATAACGGTAAATATTCTGACCCATGTGGACCATATAGTTATAATCATTCCTTCTTTCAGGTGAAGACTTGTTGTCAGAACTGAAGGAGGAAGTTTAGGAAAACCAGCACATGATGTAGAGAAATTTCAGCACTGTGGCTTGACAGGAGCAGGTCCTGCCTTACCTGAACACCTTTTTCAGTGATGGAGCTTCCTGTTTGTATCCAAACACTGGGTCAGTTAAAGAGGGTGGGGGGGGTAGAGAAAGGCCACTTCCTCCCTTGTGTTGGTGTAGCTGAAGTTGTAGAAGTTAAATATTGCACAGTACTGTGTCAATATTTTCTCCTCTTGCCTTTGGTGCAGTTTATCCATCTAGATTATTTTGGTATGGACAACCCACTTTTGTAGTTTTTGCTGAGCTCTGTCTCTGAAAAGTAATGTTTCCATCCTAAAGAAATCCAGACTGTGTTACAGATCTACTGACCTTGTAGGAATTCTTTTCTTTCCTCTGAACTACATCTGCTAACCATATCAGTGTCCTAGAGGAAGCACGTAAAGGCTTTGAACAAGAAGCTTGACTTCATGACAGGCTTCATGCTTCTTTGTAGTTGGCAGGTGTAGACACTGCACCAGATTTCTGAGTTTCAACAAATTCATGCATTTCAATAATATTTGGGACTAGAAAAGGTGGCAGTCAAGAAACGGGCAGTGCTTCATTTAACAAAGTCAATATTTACAGCAGAAAAGATGCAAGTCTAGATCATTGGCTTTAAATATTTATTAAAAACCCTGGACTAACCTCCAGCCTTAAAACATGTTTAGCATAAAAATATTAACAGGTGTAATTAAGACATGTGTGCACAAAGTCTTTCAAATACAGCCTCTGTCATGTCAAGAAACATGAACAGAACATTTAAAATGGCTGTCAGATAAAATCCACAGCAAACCTGATATGCTGCCAGTGCCAGCTAGTTTCCATGTTGGAAAAACACAGATGATGTGGAAGTGCTTTAAATTTCTCTGAAAACCACCAGCATGTGGTTTCATAATCAGACCTCCACACATCATATTTCTGCCATGTTGTTTTTGAGACCAGTATAGCAAAAATCCTCATCTTGAGGCTCCAGAATGAGAATTCACAAATAAAAGGGGCAGTAACAGCAGCTACAGCCATCTTTATGCTGTTAGCAAGGCTCTCCACTTTGTGTAGAAACTTGCACTGTGAAGTCCGGGGTTGTTTACATTCAATGCGGTGCTGAAGACACTGGTGTTGCAATCATCATCTACATTATTTCTACAATTATTGGAAAATGAAACAACACATTTTCATCTCTTAATGTTATATAAAAAACCTGTGATGGTGCTCTCTGATTTTCCAGTTTGTGTTTTGGATAGACTAAAATGTATTTACAATAGCCAGAGCCGACTGAATTCAAATATTTCTAAAATCTAATGGATTAAAAATAAAGGACCTAAAATTTACCCTGACTTCTATTTACTAAAAGAGATCAAATCTGAGACTCTGCTATGTTGAGCTACATAAAAGCAGAAATAGTAAAATGTAATACAAAAAAGCTGATATACATTAGTGTCTGTAATTAAAGGAGCATTAGCAGCTGGCAAGGCTCTCCACTTGCTCCTTCAAAACTTGTATTGTGAAGCCCGAATTTGTTTACATTCATACCAGTGTTTAAAACAACAGGGTTGAATTCATATCAGTTGTCCAGTGGCATCGACCAGCCAAACATCTGGTATGTTGTTGTTTTTTTTTTTTTTTGTGGAGGGTCCATTGAGGTCCAGGCACAACCTTGCCCACAGGATGATGATAGGGGCCCTGATAATTTGCACCCTTTGTGATTGAGTTTACCTCCAGGTGTTGGGTGTACTCCCTGAAACTGAATCACTGAAAGATGCAGAGTCAGTTCTTGTGTAATTATAGTCAATACATTTCACCAAATGCAATTAATTCCCAAGATAATGACTGAACTAAAAACAGTTCTGTTTAATAATTGGAGATACTGGCATGAAGTGGGACGCCCTGATTGAGATGCTGAGAATCTGGACTCCTCCTAAACTTTCTCCTTCTGTTTTGAACCAAGTCTTCACCTAAAGATGGAAGAAAACAGAAAATATTTAATGAGTACAATAGACCCAAAATTCAAAATGAATTCAGTTTCTCATGTTCTAGTAACCTTGAAAAACACTCACCTGTTTGTAGGTCAGTCCTGTCACCTCTGTCATCTCCCGTGGGTCATGGTAACATTTTTGGTTAAAGTGATGGACAAGAGGTTTTTATCTGGCTGTCTGAGAACAGCCCCCGGGTCCTTCCTTTGACCACCTGGGTCTTTTCTTCATTCTCTCACACAGTGCTTTTGACATTCTGGTTCTGTGGGACAGCAAAACTGTTCCTCTGTGACAGAGCTGGAAACAGCTTCAGCAGCCTCAAAGATGTTGTTCCTCGTCTCCTTATTGAGAGCACTCCCCACCCATGCAGTGAGCTCTGCCATGGGGAGACTTCCTTCAAGGCTGCCGCCAGAACTCCACAAGTCTATATGGTCCACATGGCTCAGCTCATCTGTGGTGCCATGACTCACTGTAGAAAAGCCAATTATACCAGGGTAAACTGCTGAGTGGATTTTAAGGCCTAGAGTTGGTGTAGGCAAGAATGTACAGGACTGAAAAAATCATTTTTCCCTCATTGATCCGCATTCATTGATTCATTGTTTAGAAAACTTAAAAAAAAAAAAAAAAACATTTAGAAAGTGGTCAAATAAATGAGCTCTCCTAAAACCTTCCACCTTATCTTTCTGAATATTCATCTTTGTTTGCAATTTATCATTTTAACCACTGATGTCTGAAGAAAAAGTGTAATCTCACAGATAATGACCTGTTTGTAGTATTGGGCGGCAGGATTTCAATTTCTTTATACCAGTGATATCAAAGTGAGGGCTGCAAGAGGTCGTTTATAAATTTGTAATCGGCTGTGTAAGATGGTAGCCTGGTATCATCTGCATATTAACTCACCTCCACATTTACTGTGGGAAATGGCCACTGATGTGTGAGTGGGTTTGTTTCACAACTGCTGTGAGCCAGTGGCTGTGATTGGGCTGGGTTCACTGAAGGCAGGTGTATTTGATTGCACTCTAGTCTAGTCTACTTATACTCCAGACTACAAGTACTGCTGTTAGTGATGGCCAAATGAAGCTTTCTGAAGTGTTGAAGCTTGTATTGGCCAAAAGTATGAAGAGCAGCTCGAATCTACAACTTTGAAATGAACTGCTTCATTATCATTGCCCAGTCACAGCTTCTGTTTAACATCATGTGATAATTCTGTCTGATATCAGGCTAACGTTGTGGTGCTTTGAACCTGTATTTTTCTCTGTGTGACACAATTTTGTCTGTTTCATGAATAAATGTGATGAATAAATTTGTTTAAACATGAACAATGGTGTGGTCTCCCTTTACTAGTGATTTAACATTTGTAAACATAACAGACCAAAAACATACAAGAATTTGCCTCCACTTAGACTTCTTCTGTTCTTTGGATTCATCATCAAACCATAAAGTGCTCTGCTGTGAGAATAATCTCTGAAGACTTGGTTTAACTACAATTGAATATAATAAACATACAATATTTGGGCCTTTGTAAAATTCAATCGCTAGTAAACTGATGATAAATAACATGGAAAAATATTTTTCTTTAATCCCTTGAACGGTTTTTATTTATTATCAAATGATGATGATGATGATGATATAGGAACCAAAATTGATTCAGCTAATAAAAGTGAATCTCATCCCATACCATTACCTGCTGGAATTAAGTTATACAGGAGCTTAAAAATGTGATTTATTAAAATAAATTATGGATTTTTTAGCAAACAAAACAGAATGCAATTAAACTACATTTTGGCTCCTGTTTAACTAATATTTGCATTACTTCTAAGACTTTTCCTGTAATATCAGTGCAAAGATGACAGTGTTAAAAGTGCAGAACTGTAATTTTGATTGGACGTGATGTAATTGTCTCAAACTGTACAATTCTGTGAGCAACAGCAGTTAATGATGGTCCGTTTGAAGCTGAAGACCGCATCACTGTGCTGCAGAAATACTGTGTCGGGGCTTGGTACGTCTGAAGTTTAATTCAGTACGTCACTGCTTTAGTCCTTGACTCAATGGTTTATAAGGAAGTGAATCACTGGTGGGATTTGTGGTGTGTGTTAGTGATTTTGTGCAAGAGATCAGTGTGCAACATATTGAAATACATTATTGGTCCAAGCCGTCATAAATAGTAAGTAGTGGGAAGAAAATGACCTTCAATGTTAAGCTTTTTGTTGACGTGTACAGTGTAGTATAAGCATTAGAAGATCTTAAATAAAACGGTAACAATTATGTAAAAGTCATTTTAATGAAAATGAACAGGAACTTTATAGATTTTCAAAGAAAGAATATGAAAACAACACTTTTTTTAAAAACGGTGCTCATCAAAATAGAAAACTGAACTTTTAACTTCCATCCATCTGTTCATTTAACTTAGAAGGAAGAAATGTCCTGCTGGTTAGGTGCATGTGCTCCCCTGTTATCTTTAACTAAGTGAGTTCACTTTGTGGCTGGGTGTTGTCTCAGTGTTCTCTCAGTATTCTCTCATCACAAACCTGTTTTATTTGACATTTCTCTTGTGCATGAGTTTAAAGCTGGTGCTCCACCCCGCCGCTGCTCTCTTCTCCTCCAGTGTCACAAGGTGTGCCACAGGCTTCATTCTAGTCCTGAGATGTGACATTGGATAATGGCCAGAAAAGAGTTTTACAGATTGTGATTTTTCCTGAGTGAAGTGAAATGGACTGGCATTTATGTAGCACTTTTCTAGTTTTGCTCTTAACTCATGACACTTTTTCATATATATTCATTCAGCACTTTCATAAATGTAAGCGCTTTAGTCGACTTAAATTAGGAGCTCTGGCACATTTTGAATAACCTTTTAACCCTTTAAAACCAGTCAGAGCGGGCACGCTCCGTTTTGCGTAACTATTTTTAAATCCCGGTAGCACTGCAACCACGTAAGCTAGCGAAAAAATTGTTTTTGCATATGAAACCGAAGGAGTTGTACTTACATCTTATGCCATCAGCTTGTCCTAAGTCAGTTTCCTTCCACATAAAGCTTTGCAAAAACTGCATAAAAAGCACTTGCAGCAACAAAAACATAATATTCCAGAAACACGCTTTGCCGATCCGATCAGCTGTTTGTAACACTTCCTACTCCATCAGCGCGAACTATCGCATGTCCGCCATGACCTGCCCGAAACCGGAAGTGACGTCATTTTCGCGGAAATGTAGTTTTTTACCATCAAGGCCTCATGAGCCTATACTTGTGTCTTTAAAAGTTATCTTTGACTTTATGACTTTCCGTGTCGTTTCTGGGATGCTCAGGACTCATATTGCACTGCTGGAAATAGTTTATTTTGATGCACATGCTGTTTTTTTGCAAATTTGGATTATAATATTTATTTTTTGTTTTTCCTGCAGTATATAAAAATTGGTGTATTTCAAAAATAAAACTATGAAGACACTTAAAATAAATTTCCTGTGGTGGGAAACTGTTTTGTGCAACTTTTTTGTATTTACAGTTTTGAGGGATAAGCCTCTTAAATTTCTCTAACTAGAAATATATGTTAAAAAGACAAAAACGATTTTATATTTCGTTGTAGTGTATTGCACTTTTTTGCAATTTATGCAATTACTATGCACTTAATGCATACATATTATTAAAGTTTAGGCTATAATGGTTGTATTGATGTATATCAACTTGAAATGCTCCCAAAAATGGCACTACAGCTGAAGGCTGTAAAATATAATATAAGCTCTGGCGGACTTGGTTCTATGGTAGGTCTTAAAGGGTTAATTAAAACCCAGTTAAAAACACATGAACTCATATAGCCCCTCTGACACCCTGTGTGTTTCCACACATGAACACGCATACCCCCGAGCACACCTGAACGCACATGCGCACACGCACGAAATCTGTCAAACAGGTTGTCAAACCGGTTTGGTTGGCCGCCATATTGGACAGGTAGCAACGTATTACTACTCATGGCCTAAATGTCTTCCCCGACTTCTTATTCCAAAGCCTTTGTCTGCTGGTTTGAAGACAATAAATAGCTGGATGAACATGAAAAACATGTCCATCACTGCGACTGGGGAGAGTGCCCACCCTATGGAAGACGTCCTGCATCGTCCCGGTCCCCAAAAAGAACCGGCCCAATGAGCTGACTGACTTCCGACCGGTGGCACTGACGTCACATCTTATGAAGACTCTAGAGCGGCTCTTCCTCAACCTCCTCCGACCACAGGTACAACATGCCCAGGACCCACTACAGTTTGCATACAAGGCGGGTGTCGGAGTGGAGGATGCCATCCTGTACCTCCTACACAGAGCCCACTCACACCTGGATGGGGGAAAAGGCACGGTCAGGATCCTGTTTCTTGACTTTTCCAGTGCCTTTAATACCATCCGGCCCTGTATGCTTCAGGAAAAACTGAACAGGATGGAGGTGGACCCCTGCCTGGTGGCTTGGATCTCCGACTACCTCACCGACAGACCACAGTACGTCAGGCTGAAGGACATCATGTCTGACACTGTGGTTAGCAGCACAGGAGCACCACAGGGAACTGTGCTGTCCCCTCTTCTCTTCACCCTGTACACCTCTGACTTCTGCTACAACTCTGAATTATGCCAATATTCAGAAGTTTGCAGATGACACGGCCATCATGGGGGGGTGTATCTGGGATGATCAGGAAGAGGAGTACAGGAGTCTGGTGAGGAACTTTGTCACATGAAATCACACAAACCACCTGCAACTCAACACCTCAAAGGCTAAGGAACTGGTTGTGGACTTCGGGAGGTCCAGAGAAGGTCCACTACCGGTTCAGATAGAGGGGGAGGAGGTGGAGGTGGTCAACAAGTACAAGTACCTCGGGCTGTGGGTGGACAATAAACTGGACTGGTCATGCAACACAGAGCACCTGTATAAAAAAGCCCAAAGCCGACTGTACTTCCTCAGGAGGCTGAGGTCTTTTAACATCTGCAGGAAGCTCCTGAGGATGTTTTACCAGTCGGTGGTTGCTGGAGTACTTTTCTATGCTGTGGTGTGCTGGGGGAGCAGCACAGCAAAGGACTCATCCAGGCTGGAGAAACTGATCAGGAAGGCTAGCTCTGTGGTCGGCATGAAGCTGGACACTCTGGTGACAGTGGCAGAGAAAAGGACATTAAAGAAACTGCTGGACATTATGAACAATGCTGGGCATCCTCTGCACACGGCCATTAACAACCAGAAGAGTCTGTTCAGTGACAGGTTGCTTCTCCCAAAGACAAGAACTAACAGACTTAAAAACTCCTTTGTCCCACACGCCATCAGACTGTTTAACTCCTCTCTGGAGGGGAGAGGGAGGGGAAACAGGAGGACAAAGGAGGGGGGAACAACTAAGCTGTAGTGCCTCTTCACCTCACTGTGCAATACCTTTTGTGCAATACTTTTGTAAATAGTCAACGGTGCAATAGACTCAATACTTGAAATGTGCAATTCACTTGTATTTTTATTTTTATTCCTATTTATTCTATTTATCCCCTTCGTATATTTTATTTATATTGTCTCTGTATTTATATATATATATATATATATATATATATATATATATATATATATATATATATATATATATATATATATAAAAAATATTCTGTAACTCTGTAACTTCTGTCGGTGCTGTGCTTTTTTGGAAATCGAATTTCCCAGAGGAACCCACCCGAGGGATTAATAAAGTTCTATCTAATCTAATCTAAATCTTCTTGAGAGTCACTAGAATAAATTCAACTAGACACACAAGACAAAGGCTACTTTCACACTGCAGGTCTTAATGCTCAATTCCGATTTTTTGATCAAATACGATTTTTTTGTCTTCGTGTTCACACTACAAATAAAATGCGACAGCAAACGTGCTCTAGTGTGAACGCTCAAAGCGGCCCGCATGCGCAAAAGAAAACTTCACACACAACACGCTCTGCTTAGACCCAGAGCAAACAGTATTGTTTGACAGATGGCTGTTAATATAAAGACTTCGGACTTTACATTTCTCAATTTTTGCTTTAAGTTATTTTGTTATTTACATAATAATGTAAATAACCTAATAATTATCCTTATTGCTGTTTAAGAGAGGAGCGGTGCTTCAAAGGATAGTTGCAGATTTCTGTCAGAATCTGCAGATTATACAGTACAAATAAAATGTTCACATTTCTCCAACGTTGTCTTCCCAACAGTTTCACTGACATCTACACGGGATGGCCAGGAAGCGTTCGCGATGTCTTCTCGGGCGCTTCTCTGGCACTGATAATTGGCGTCTGTCTTGTGTCGGTGACGTAAAAGACGGATTTAATGCGACCTGACCGTTCAAA